ACACACACACACACACACACACACACACACACACACACACACACACACACACACACACACACACACACACACACACACACACACACACACACACACACACACACACACACACACACACACACACACACACACACACACACACACACGTACACACAAGTCATGGAAAATTTGACTTTAAAAAGTAATGAATGTGAAATTTATTTTCTGATTGGTCATTCTCAGTTTATTTAAAGATAAATAATTGGTAAAAGTGAACTTAGTTTGAGGCTGTTAAATACGAGATTTTTTTTTAGTTAAATTCAAAGTTCAAGTTATTTATCAATTATTGATTTTTACTCCATTAGTGTTCTCTGATATTTATTTAATGTTTATTAAAAATCTTGTACAGCATAGCACAGCAGATGTGATTTTTATTGACATTTAAATTGTTTAATTTTTTTTTTAATTATTATTTATAACTATAAGTAAATTAATATGAAATTTTAGTTCAATTTTCACTGCCTAATTTGAAACTTGTGATAAACATAGTTACCGATTACATAATTTGCTCAATAACGATTGAATTTTTAAAAGGTATATTGTTTTTTTTTTTTTTTTTTAATTTTAAATGATTGAGTTTTTCTTAAATAAACTGCCCGTTATGCTGTACGAATACTGAAAAAAAATATAAAATGAGCTGATACCCCTTAAAAGGGGTTAGAAATATACGAAGGCTGTGTTTAAATTTTTCCACGCCTCAAGCTGGGGTTAAAAAAGGACAAGGCATGAATTTAATACGAATGTTTAATAAAATAAAAATTGTAAAAAAGAAGAAAATGATTGATTGGGTTTATAAATTGGTAAATTATCATTTATTCCAAGAACGTAGCCTTCTTATTATATATGAATATATGTTAGTAGTAGTAATTAATTAAAATTAATCGATGAATTTAATAAACAATATTATTTTATTGTAAATTTAGTGAGGTTGCGTACGTTCTTGGACAGTGAGGATAGTTATTACGACAATGTACACATATGTAGTTCGGTTACTTGTAAGAGTTACTTGTAAATTGTGAGTCGGAGCTAAGATTAAGAATTTACGAAAAGATATAGAGTGAGTAATAAGAATAAGTATAAGAGTAAGGACTAAGTATAAAAAATAAAAAAAAATACAAAAAAAAATGAAGAAATGTATGCATGAGAGTGAAGATTATGGTTTATTTAATTAAAGTAATAATAAATAAAAAGAAAAAAGCGTTTATGTCGACGTTGTATTGTAATTAGACGATATATATATGATGAAGAAGGATCAACACAGACATGTACACACCAGCTAAGGTACACTGCCAATACGTGTAATTTATAAGTATAGAGTGATTAATTAATTATAATAATGTTTATTATAAGGATTATAATTTCTTATGCTACTTTAATTTAAAGTAAATATAAACGTTTTATGATTAAAATGCGTCCGCGTTTATCGGGCCCGACAAGATACTTTATTAATCTGCGATAAATGCTCGATTAGTAGTTTTTAAGCTCGCGGTTAAAATGCAGCAGCCTCGTGGTAATTTCTTTATTTAATTTTAGATTAGATCTTTTTTTTAAATAATTTTATTAGTATTTTTTTTTTTTTTTTTTTTTTGTAAATAATTAGGTAAATTATCGTACAAAGGCATGTGTGCAGCTAAATAATGCTTCTTACGCATGTAACCGACGTATCTTTCGACTCTTGTAGAGTCTTGGTCTTTTTTACTTTTTTTTTATTTTTATTATTTTTCTTCCATACGTTAAAAAAATAATTAGAGTTAAATTTTTAAAACAAAAGGGCTGCGACGCACAATACTAAACCCTGACGCCGAAATGTATTTAATTTTAGGGTAATACTTATTATTGATTATCAATTATTAATTATTATTTTAATAATTTTGTCTAATTAACGACACTGCCAAATTTATGCTGCCTAGTTAATTTCATTTTATAATATGATTTTTCGTTGCACTGGTTGCTTATTATATCATTATTTTCTGTCTATTTTTTTTTAAGAAAAGATGGTGAGATCATTTTTACTATTGTTGTTAATTGTTATACATTTTTTTTGGTTAAATAAAAGTAAAGTTATAATAATTTTTTACTATTAAAAAAAATTACAAAAATAATATCATAGCAACTTTTATAATTTTACTTATTTTAAAGTTTAAAAAATTTATTATAAATGATTTATAATGTTGAAGTTTCAACACTTTTTTAATGATCTCATCGTCTTAAAAATTAAAATTTTGTTTTATTAGAATAACTGTATATTGATATAGATTATATGAAATTAAAAATCAAGTAATACATTCAAACAATATAAAAATTAATTATAACATCTACTGCTATTTTATTAATTGGCAATTTAGTCATGTCAATTTTAAAAATACACCATCAAAATTATTTATTCCTTAAACTCATTTTAGAGCCTGCATTCGATCAAATCATTTTATATCAAAATTTTTAATGATTCATACAACAAAAAAAAATTTTTTTTTTTTGTAAATTATTTTAAGTTTCTTAACTAACTACCAATGGCAATACTTTATTATAGAGATTGACACTGCCGATTTTAGAAATTTTTTTGCGTGAGGGTTTTTTTCTACTTAAAATTTTAATCGTGATTTATTATTAACCAAATTTTTTAGAAAATGCGTGCCCTTTTCTTTTTTTTTTAATACTTATACTGAGAAAGGGTTCGATTTTATTGTTAATTGTCGGAAAGTTCATTTTAGATGATTTTTAAAATTGTGTTAAGTGGCTTGATCACCAACTGATAAACGTGATAGATAATATTAATATAAATAAAATTAAAATTAATGACAAAAATAAATTTTTATAATAGTGATAATAATTAGCCGGCATAAAATGAGTATTTGTGCAATGCAGTTTTAAAATGGGACCAATTTTAAGAAAAAAACATTTCGTGAGCCTAAAAATAAAAATTATTCAAGTAAAACATTTGATCATTTATGACGGTTGTTATCAGTGGTGTGATCATGCTTGATCTCCATAATTAACAAAATTATTATTAAAAGTTTAATAAATGTTCGATCAAACGATGTGATCATCAGATGAAGTTATAAATTTTCAAGTCCAAAAATAAACAGTTTGAATTTTTAATTAATTTACGTTCCTAAAGTTAAAAGTCTATCAATTTTTTTTTATTTAAGATATTTGAAACTAAATGATGGTGTAGAAATACTAAATATTAAATACAAATATAAAAAAAATATTAAGTAAAACATATTAAAAAATTGTGTTGTGAAATAATTATTTTTTTTTACATTTTCAAAATTTATTTTCAAATGTAAATGATTGAAAAAATTTTGTCTTTCTTGTATATGTTTAAAAAATTACAACAAAAAAAATATAAGAGACATTTTTTTTTATTTTAATGTAATACATTTATTACGTTTTAAATTTATTAATTAAATAATAAATTTAAAAGCTTTACACCTTTTTAACTTCAGGACCGCAAATTT